GGTCGACACAGATACTGTACACAGGTAAGGTGGGGACTAGGGATCGAGCCCTGGGATCTGCATCGGCTACTGCGAACTGGTGAATACCGTTTCACAGGAGTGACCAAGTGACCAGTAAAGCGGACAGTGGGAGAGAGAGACACTAAGCAGCCAGCCGTCAACGTGCACTGGGTGCAATAGCTATTAGTTTACCATAGACAGCAAAGGGAGAGAGAGACCTGAGGGTCGGAGTACGAGAGTCCATCCTGGGTTGTTGATTGTAGGCAGCCATGGCTGTCCAGGCATTTGTACGCTAACTCGCTTGCATACGAGAGTGCAACGAAGTTGCAGTTCTTCAGTGGACTGTAACTTTTTTTTTTTTTTTAACACCCAGGACGCTTCTATTCTGGGGGGCAACAGTCTGGTCCGCTCCGCCAACGGATGACACGGGGCAGTGGACAGCAACATTAACCGCATCATTTTTGTAGTTTCTCTAGCTTCTGGCCCCCAACCGGTAACTGAAAAAAGGCCCAGTCCGACAGGGACAATTCTGAAAATTCCTTAAAAAGAAGGTAGTACTGGTCCTAAATTCCGTCCAGCCTGTCCAGGTCTAATTTGGCATTTCGCTACTGCAAGGGACTGGCGACTCTCTGCCACTGCAAGGGACTGGTGACTCTTCGCTACTGCAAGGGACTAGTGGATTTTCGTTACTGCACGGGGTGGCACCACCGTTACCGGGAGAGTCAGGCTCATAATTTTAGCTGTGTCCTACGTCCTAGAGGCCCAGTCCAGTAGTTCTGTCCAGTACTATAAATAGAGTCAGTTTGTAGAGGTAGAAGCCGTTCACCTGTTAGTCTGCAGTGCGTGATACGCTGCTTGAAGATTGTTGTTGACGCCACCAGGCTGCCGGAGCAGTGCCATACCTGGAGGCAACTGCTCGAGGTCTTTCTGCAACGCTGATGCCTATGCTTCAGGCACTGGTCCTGGTGACACCATATCTGTGCTGTTGGGGTTAGGCGCTGCCTTATCTTTTCTTATTGGCAGCTGTTTCTTATTCTTCTTCAAGCTGGAGGTTAGTTCTTCTTCCTGGGGCTGGTGCTGTCCATCCTGGAGGGTTTCTGGACTGGCGCTGTCTGTGTGATTTCGGTAAGAGACACGGGAGCAGGAAAGGTTGCTGGCAGGTGGCGCTGGTGGTCTGCAGGCCCTGGGAGCTAGGCGATGGTCTTTCTTGTGTGCGCCATAGCCACAATTGAGGTAGGTGATGGATGGAGGAAGGAGGAACCGTCCGAGAGGCTTGAAGAAGCCTGTGTTTGAGTTTGTTTGGGGTTGTTTCCACTCAGTTGAGATTCTTGCAAACTTTGTGCACCTGATTGAACGGGAGAGTGAAGAGGGACTGTAAATTGGGTTTCAATTCAATTCTATTTGCATTTTGTGGTTCCGCTGTGCATCTTCAATCCGGTTTAGTGTGGTTTGTCCTCTCCAAGTCTTCTTTGTCATCTCGCGCGTGTATGGGAACATCCTGATGCTTTACTGGATGGAATTTCAATCAGTCACATGAGAAGTGTTTTTCAGATAAATTGGACTCTCATATCCTGATGTGAAACGGTATTCCCCAGTTCGAAGTAGCTGATGTAGGTCCCAGGGCTCGATCCCTAGTTCCCCAACTTACCTGTGTACAATACCTGTGTAGTTGTAGGGCTTGAACCTGTGACCTGTAGGATAGCCACTYGCAGGTAGGTCATCGKAAGTACCAGAGAAGTAAGGGATTTGAACCACAGACCTGTAGGGCAAAAATCGAAGTAGGGTCCAGAGGCCTTCTAGAAGGTCGACCAGTGGGCAAGTGGTGTAGCTAAGTCTACKTGTGCCGTAGGACTGTGACATCTGTCGAAGTCAACTGGTAGGACCTCAGTAGGACTGCAGTGAGTCGTAGGTGAGTCGTAGTGCAGTCGAGGAAGTGTCCAGAAAGTCCCTGTCCGGTCCAGCAAGTACCATATGGGGCTAAGGGTACCGGGGCCAGGGAATACAGGCCAAATCGGAGCTACGCAGAAGTATAAATCAAGAGGCTGCGTCCAGCCATTCATGGATTCCTGTGGAAGCTCYGYGGAAGCGCTGCTCGGGCGTCTTGTGCAAGGGAGGTCTGCAGCTGGCCCGAAGACGAAGTGGGCAGAAGTTAGTGATAGGCTAGTTAGTTGTTAGTGGCCATGCGCCATAGCCATAGACAGTTAGTAAGTGTGTATRTGTGTGTGCAGTGGATGGCGTGCATGGTATCCAGGGTGATCCAGAGTCGAGTTGCGTGTGAACTCTGAGTCGGGTGTGTAAGTGTGGGCGCCCAGCGCCATAGTCAACTGATGTAAACTTGGATTTGAGTTGAGTTGCAAACTGCCACATCTCCGAGTTTGAGTTGGGCGCACAGCGCCAAGTTATTCTCATCTATTGCATGCATGTTTGAGTGTGAATTTGCGAGACTGATTTCAGATGTGTGTGGTTCGGTGTAAATATGAGATGTTGGTTTCATGGTTGAAAATCGGGCTGATTGCACCTTCGAAACGCTAGAAGATCTACTCGGAGTCCGAGGAACACACAAACTGGGGGCATTGAATTTAGTGATATCTCAAGACCATCAACTTTTCCAAGGAAAGAAAAAGAACAACAGAAAAAAAAAAGGAAATATCAATCTTCTTCTACCAGGAAAAACAACATGATCAGTTTCAGTCAGCCTGCTGTTGTCATTCAGAGAGGATGTGTCTACTATCCATATAACAACCTTTCATATTCTAAAGGATGAAGTGGATTATCATCTGTTTGATTGAAATGCATTGACAGACTGACTGAACTACCTCCCACAGTGGTTACATCCATTTTACAACTCAGAACTTACCAAGGCCTTTCACGAAGATGGTAGTTCTCGCAATCATAGGGAAAATCTTGGTCTGAGTCAGATCTTATATATTGGTTCTGTGAAACAGGCCACGAAAGAGAAAAGAGGCATGTCACAATAGACAAACCAACGGTTGTTTACACCTTGTCGCATGGTAAGAGTGGCTCCATGTGAGTGTGTTTGGGGGGATATATCCTTCGCAATAGCATGTGCACAAAAGGTAACACGATCGAGGGTAGTAACGTAAAACACACCACACGCTTTAGTACTTGCATAAATACCCAAGTGAAAGGAAATAAGCAATGCGAACAGCAATAAACCAAGTTGCAACATCTTATAGAAGACCAGATATCATTGAGCAGAAACTGAAAGCAGAAATCAAAACGAGTTTCACTAACTTTCACACCAAATAGGAATGCGCAAAGCTCTGAAGTATCATGATAATGAAAGCCCTCCCATCGCCTCCAATCAGCACTGCAACAACGATGTAGCCCTCCTACAGGTGGCTGTCCGCCAACTCTGCAACTAGACACTCCTAGCTCCTAGCCTACTTAAGTCTACAACAGGTGCATGTGTCATTAGCCCAATGCCGCTTGAAGACACTGATCCAACAGCCTGCCTTCGTCAGCACCACGTCCATGCCTTGTCACACTGCCTCTCTTCCTTTCACCGACAGCCTTCTTCCACCAAGGACCTCCGCTACTCTGCCACCCAGCTATAAATCGAACAGCCCGGCTGTGGCTGCTGCTCTCCCTCTTCGTCTCCACTCACTGCCACCATGCAGCTTGCTTCTTCGGGCACAGTGTTCAACAGCTGCTTGCACAGTGCTGCCTCATGCCTGAATGGCCGAATGTCTGAGTGCCTGCACCCTTCAGCCTTCTGTGCCGGATAGCAAGGCTGAGGAGGCTCTGCCCAGGGTGCACCCAGTCCCAGTACCCTTCGCCCTGGGCCCTTCCAGAATCTGCATGAGGCCCATTGCCTTCAACTAATTTGCGGACTGGGCCTACCGGCTAGTTAAAAATGCTGCAGGCGTGCAGCAACGACCTGGGACCCCATCCTGCTCACATTGCTTGTTTCTCTAGGCCTGCCGTCACCAAGGCCAGGCACGGCCTTTTCCTGGCTGGCCAAGGCGGGGAATCCTCACACAACAAATAATACACATCCACAAGTGCAAAAGAAACCAGAAAAAGCACAGTACCAGAAATAACAAGCGTAAGGACCTGCCCAAACGTGGACTGAGAACACACACTCAACACAGTTGACTTCTGAGTTTTGCCGCTGGAATGAATGCCTTGCCGAGATTCCCGCTTTCGGCCGAGTTTTCAAAGTCTGTGTGTGTACGTGCTTGCTGGTCTGTGTGCCTGTCTGAGTGTTTGTCGGCTTGAGTGTGTGTGTTACATACTCTAATGAGTATGGGCAGGACCAAGGATCAACCAATGTAGGATGAGCAT